TCTCTACTGTTTTGCCAAAACTCTTGAGGGGCCTAAAAGAAATGTCAGAATCTTTGATGCATGTTTGTCTTTAGTCTGAATCCAGAGATGATGTTTCTGCACGGCTGGACTGCGTTCCCAGCTATGTTCTAAAGGAACCTTGGTTTCTCCCTGAAAGTTAAGACGTGATGTCGTAGGAAAAGATTATAGTTTGAAGGGACGACAGAGTCCATGAGGGGAAGCAGGCTGGAAATCAGACTGCTAGCCTTAAGTCTGGGGGTTCATGTCCCAGCTGAATACAGTTCTCCCAGATAATCCACAGTTTAAGTACGTTGAAGTTATTAAAATCAATCCAGTGTATGTGCCTGACCACTGAACAGCTCTGCAGTGCATTAAGAAATAAAACTAGAAAGCTTTACACCTTTCCTGCTCCAGCAGGACGCTGTAGTGTCAGAGGCGAGGGTGTACTGTGGCTCCACAAGCTCCAAAAGACAGAAAGAAAACAGCTGGATTCATAGACCAGCTGCAGTACCTGGTTGTTCCACTAGGTGGAGCCTCTCCCTGTTTAATCCTGTAGAGACCAGAGGAGGCGTCACTGGACTGTGGGAACCATCACGCTGGCATCAGAGAGCGTTGCTGGGTTTAGTTTGCAGCAGGCACCATGACAGAAGCTCTGATGATTAATGACCACCAGGAGGAGCTCAGTGTTCACAACGAGCTGGGATTTAACGGCCTGCCTGGATCCCAGTGACGAATGAAACAGAGCCACATGTTCCTGGACAGAAACAGTCAGGACCAATGTCCACTGTAGATTAGATTGATTATTGATTGGCAAAGCTGCTGATTATTATTTAAGAAAATTATACTAAAGCGTGTCTTTTACCTTCACACACCTGTGTGACAGCAGATGGTTGATGCCAGTAACACATCCTGATCTTTGACATCCAATCAGGACGTCCCTTATTCTGTAGACTCACAAATTCCACATCATCTAAATTAGGATCGGTTCACAGAAAAACAGCAACAGAATAAAATAAATGTAAAGATGCACTGATTTGAAACGTATCTGTGATGAATACGATAAGATCAGATTTAGTCCCACAGTTTACATCAGTGACAACAGCACAAACATTTAAGGAACGTATAAAAGATTAAAACAAACCAAAATAGTACTACTATAAAAAAAGTACTGCTTCTAAAAACAACTCCTACAACAATACCTACTGCACATATCAGTGGTTTTGTTCAGGTTATCATGATGAATAGAAATATGGCACAGATCGTATGCAAATAGAGAACTAACGAATAGAACATAATCTGGCATCATAAAAATAATAATTAGGAATCAGTTTTGTTGTTTAGGATTCTTTGGGAGATGAAGCAGCTCAGTGTTTCCTAAAAGAACTGATTGACCACATTGTGTCCTAATACAAAGTTCAGATGACATTTTAATGACAGTAAAGACTTTTAGAAGTAAAATCAACAAGTTCAACGTGTCTCAACGTCAGCGTCTTTTGTTCCACAGCTACCTGCCGCTGAACTCCTGTCTTGTGATTCCTTGCGGACCTTGTAGCTCATTTCGGCGCTCAGAGTGCCAGAAGTGAACAATATTTAAACTTTTAGCACCACATGTGCTGCAGGCTTCAGATGGATTTTACATGACACGTCGCCGTGCACACCTGGAGCCCCCGCTGGGTGATGATTACCTGAGCAGAGGTGCCACTTTCATACGGCTTATATTAAAGTTTAGCTGACGAAACAGCTGTGTCCGCGCCCGATCTACAAATAGATTCCACCGGGATGTCTCGGATTCAAATCCCCAGACCTGCCTCAAAGTGTCTAACGAGCTGCAGATTCACCCGTTTGCCAGCTTCCTCACAAACTTCTGCATCTGTTGTTACTGCAGCGCACAACTTCTAAAGCCTGTTGGTTATCTGTGTCGTTCATCGGTTTATAAAACTATATCGATCCCTCAACGACAAGCCTGAAGCTGCTGTCACACATGCATATAGATGTTCTAAATAAATCAGCATTATCGATCAATATTTGATGAATTTTCAGCACAACGTGGACACGCTAGACGTTTGTCGTTTGCTGATGTTCCTGTTCTAAGCTACAGACTCATGATTCAGGTCACAAAGGGAGACAGCAGCTCTATTCTGGTAGATTCTGACTTGATTAAACTAATTGATGCTGGCCGGACGTCGTTAAGCATCACAGGAAACTCTGTCATGGTGCCCCTTTATTGGCTGAATCCCCATAATGCTCTCTGCTTTCCAACTCGGTAGATAGGATAAACTTTAGTTGTACATGTTACAGCAGCTGGATACCGACGAGGCAAAAAAGAAGCAGGAAAACAATTAGAAAAGTGCATCCATCCATCATCTCTACACCTTAATCCTCACTATGGGGGGCGGAGCCTATCCCAGCTGACTCAGGGTGAAGGCAGGTTCACCTGGACAGGTAACCAGTCTATCACAGGGCTACACTTAGAGACAGACAACCAAGCACACTCACATTCACACCTACGGACAATTTACAATCACCAATTAACCTCAGCATGTTTCTGGACTGTGGGAGGAAGCCGGAGAACCCGGAGAGAACCCACGCTGCACGGGGAGAACATGGAGACTCCACGCAGGAAGATCCCGGGTGTCCTCACCGGGACATGAACCGGCGACCTTCTAGCTGTGAGGTGACAGTGCTAACCACTGAGACACCTGCAGCCCTATGAAAGTACAATAAGCCTTAAAATAAAGATATAATAAAGGTTAGACAGTGCACCAGTCATGCAGGGTTTACATATGGACAGGTATGACATGGAGGATAATGTTGCTGCAGTCAGAAACATTCAGAGGATTTCGTTGCCACACCGAAGCACTAGACACGGTTTCATTCAGCTTCCATCAGCTGCCGTGCTCCTAGCCTTGATTGTATCGGCGTCGCTAGCCGGCGTGCTAATCCGTGTGACCTTTAACCCCTGGTGCTGATGAACTCGGTGCTCTCGGTGCTGATTAGAACGACCCTCCTCCTCCAATCCCATCACCGCGTCCTCTGCCGACGCCCACGCTCTTAAACAAGCGCCGCCAATTAGCGCAGCGCTTAACGAGGTCATTAGCAACCTGGTGTCCCCGACTCCACCGGCTCCGTGTTTATGTTCAGGAGGGGAAGGCTTATACGGCTAAATGACACGTTTACAGTAACACAACACTCTTTGTCTCACACAAGCACACACACACTCGGAGTCATTTCCACACTAATACGTTGGGAGTACGGCGGGTCATTAAAACATCGGAGAGCTGTAAAACCCGAATAGTTAAACACACAGAGCTGATAGCTGCAGTGATAACCGGAGAGAGAGGAAGAGGAGGGAGGTGTTTTATGGTGATATTTGGAGGTAGGAAGTGTTTTATGAAGTCATCTCCCAGATTATCTTCCCTATCTTCTCCCTATCGCCATCATTTGATGTGGAAAGGTTACGATAATGAGCTCTTATGAAGTCGGGGGAAGGGTTTGAACCGCGGGTCGACCGATGCTGCTCATTCTTCCTGCTTCAAATAACTTTGGTGTTCCTCACAGCTGCTTCGATTTGCCTGTTAAAAATGATGTAGTGTTGAATAATGTACCTCAAACACCATATTATTATAGTCGAGTGTAGAAGCAATCTGCTGAAAAGTTTATTCTTACAGCAAAATGTTTTTCAAGCAACGAAAAAACACAAAATTTTTTTATTCTTATTTATTATTTGTCTTTTCAGAACATCAAATGCTTCATGTTTTAATTGTGAGCTAATGTTCTGATGAGTGACCGGCGTGCAGACGACAGGTGAACAGCGACGGTGGGATGCTCGTATGTCAGCAAGTTGAAAAACAGCTTTTCCCGTTATGAGAACAAAGTGAGCAAAGTGGCCTTTTCCCAGGCCACAGCAGACATACAGGACCAGAAAGCTAAACAAACAAACAGACAAAACAAAAAAAGGATTCCCAGCGCTACATCATGCTGCAGAAAGGTGTGTGAGTGTGTGTGGCGTGTGGAGAGGTTGGAGGTCAACCAGCTCAGTCTCTTAGCTCTCATCCTGGCTGAGGTGAGGAACTGGTCCCAGATTATTTCTGAAACCTGCTGGACTGAATGAATCTGAGTGTTTCCATTTGTACAACATGAATCATGTCCGTCGTCCACCTCTGAATGAAGGAGGAGAGGATGACCTCCACTCCTTCAGAATGAGTCCTTTGGCCGCTATCATGCGTTGCAGCCGGGAGAAGATGGCGAGTATCGGGTCTGATGGGAGGAACTGTTTGTAAGCTCTGGAGTACCAGTCAGACATTTTGGACCAGAATCCAGACAGCGAGGGACAGAAGCATGAGAAAAGTGCACTCTGGTGCCCGGCAGCTGCCACATGGTGCTGAGATGGAGGGGTAGATCTTAAGGGGCGGCTGTGGCTCAGGTGGTAGAGCGGGTTGTCCACTGATGGCAAGTTTGGCGGTTCGATCCCCGTTCCCCCCGCATGCCGAAGTGTCCTTGGGCAAGACGCTGACCCCCAAGTTGCTCCAAATGGCAGATTAGCACCTTGCATGGCAGCTCTGTCACCATTGGTGTGTGAATGGGTGAATGCGAAACACGTTGTAAAGTACCTTGGGTACCGCTAAGGTAGAAAAAGGCGAGAAAAAAAAGGCCATTTACCATTTATGCAGTCTAATGGAATCAGCTGGTGTCTGCTGTTGACCGAACAGGTCCGGACTGCAGACAATCAAGTCCACAGCCAGTTCCTTCTCCCAGGCCTCCCTGATCCCCACAGAGGAGGCGTTACATTAATCAGTTTTTCATTTTTACTGTCTGCTTTAAACTGGCACATATTTCCGACTTTGTGAAATCCCAGGTGTGGCTTCACCTCTGATTCGTCTGTTTTTAAACACCTTGAAGGGTTTTGCTGTTGTTGTCATAGAAGCTGCACCCTGTTTCTGCTCTTATTCATGCAGCCCAGCACTGGTGTGTTTCTAATGTGTTTCTGTGCTCGTCCTCAGCCTGTGATGAGTGGACCGTCCTCCCCAGACCCGGACTGCACCGAGACGCCAACCGCTTCGGACACTCCGCCGTGGTCAGCAACGGGTGAGTTTTTCTCCTCCATGCTCTTCCCGGGCTGCACTTCATCACTGCCACACTCGGTCGGAGGCGTAGAGTCGAATATTCAAGTGCAGCAGCAGCACACCTGAATCCCAGATCTGCTCGCTTGAGCTGCGACGCCGAAGCTCAAATGTGGGTAAATAACATAAGCTACCATCGCGCTCAATTACATTTATGCAAATAAAGGCGCATCTCTTCACAATGCATCACTCCTTGGTACATTTTTACATTCCTCTTGATGTCTTCCTGCAGTGTCCTCTAAGTCTAGAGCGTCTCGGTTTGACTTTCTTCTCCGGCGCTCCTCTTCTCCGGTTATGGTTTTTGTTGTGCAGATTGTTTATGGATTGATCTCTTTATCTCGGTGTTATATTTAGCTTCGGTTTACACTTCTCCTCCTCACTTCTCCCTCTGCCGGCTCCTCTGAAGCTCTCTGTTCACAAACTTTGTGCCTCTGCCGCCTCACCTCTCGCCTATATGTGGATGTTCCTGCTGCTGTCTAGAACTTTCTTTGCACCTTCTCCATATGGATATATACCCACATGTGGTACTCTTAGTTAACCCATATTTAAACCTCTGCGGCTGTGCGTTTCTCTCCCACTACACTATTTCATACAGAAAAGTTGGTCTCAGGCTGCGGTTTCCCTGAATTGCAGCATCACCACCCAGCCGACCGTTCATTTATAACAGAAAGCCTGCTGTCTGGTAGCTTCTACAGTGTGTTCTGATAACAGAGGAGTGTTTTTCTCTCCTTCCAAGCAAAGACTACAGGACATTTTATTGGCAAGTAAAATGTAAATGTCAACCGCTCAGCGAAACCTGAAATGTTTGCGAGTCCCACCGCAGTGTGGAGTGACTTATTACTGAACTCAGAGACGATGTTCTGACCCTTTAACACCGTTTAGCCGCCAAAAAGTCGGCTTTGAGCGCTAAAATGTCAGCTTTGAACTTCAAAAGACCGGCTTCAAAACCACTCTTTCCCTGCTTCCCCTCCAACACCAAAGTTAGGGTTTATTTTTTGAAGGTTCTGTCTGAACGCTCCTCCAGCTGACAGCCGGTTCTTGTCTCTGGAAGACGAGCTCGCTCCAACCACAGCTGTGTGTGCAGGTTTCCGTCATCCTTGCATCCTCTGTTTCAGCTCCATGTACATCTTTGGGGGGTTTTCGGGTCTGCTTCTGAATGACGTGCTGGCCTACACCCCTCCGTCCTGCCGGGCCTTCTCCAGCCCGACTCTGTGTGCTGCTGCCGGGCCGGGCCTTCGCTGCCACTGGGTCAGGACCGGCTGCGTCCCCTGGGAGCCCAGAGCGCCGGAGCACACATCTCCTCCTCCTCCTTTCTGCCCTCCACAACCTGGTACGTTGCACCGAGATGCTGAATCCGTTCTTTGCTTCTCCCCTAAATATTTCCACTGCACTGTCAACATGGTTTTTTTCCTAGAAACACACAATCACACACGAGCGTTCCTCCCAGAAGGCTTATTTTTTCAGGAGAATAACAATTACTCCGAAGGCTGCGGGTCCTGAAGTTTGTTTGCATACCGTAATTATAGGAACAGAAGGTCAACGCCGCAACAATTACCTCATTTTAAAGTAATTAGGATCGGTCGGAGCCAGATGTAGATGCAGCAGCTCTTCCAGGTATTCTGCTTCAGGCGCTTCGCTGCAGGTTTGAGTGGAAAGTAATTACAAAAATGGGTTTTACTGTCAGTTTTTAATAGAGCACAAGTCCGCGTGGATTGACTGAATTAAATTCTGGTGGTTTTGTATCACATATATTTTTTTTCCTACTGTTTCAGGCTGATTTGTGTTTATTTCCATATTATATTAAACACAGTGAGCAGATGAGCAGAACTTCTTGGATAATGTAAAACAACTCACCCACACACAAGTGTGAGCAGAGCAAGAGGCTGCTGGTTGGTTTGCAGCCTCTGTGGGAACAAACTGAACCAAACCGCTGCAGGAAGATCAAGATGGCTGCTCAGACTGCATTAAAGAGCCTTGAAGAGGTGGAGCGCTGATGGATGTCATGACAGATGAACATGTTCCAGATTCTAATCTCATGTGTGTGTTTGTTCTACATGAAACAACACAACACGCCGCATAGCTGTCCTCTAAATACCTGGTTATCCAAATATGGTAATCGCTGCTAGTTTGTCTTCCTGAAAGCAGTTCTCGGCCACATGTGGTCACCACATGAGTGCCAGACACACAAACTCTGAGTCACAACTTTGCTAATTGAGAAATCAAACCTCTAACACGTGGCCCCTCTGATGCGGATCGATCGATGCTCCTCCGATTAGATCCCAGTGACTCATGTTCACAGTGAAGTCGTTAACGAGCGCGCTCCGTTGGTTCTCCTCCTCCTCCAGACAGCACAGACGAACAGTGCTTCCGGTTCTCGGACTGCGCCAGCTGCACGGCCAACACCAGAGGATGTCAGTGGTGCGAGGACAGGAAGTGCATCTCCGCATCCAGCAACTGCACCGTGGTGAGTCTGTCAAACGTTATTACACCACACGGCGAGTGTTTCAGTGGATGGGGAACAGACTGGAGGATTCTGGTCGTTTTAGAGCCATGATAGTAGTTGGAGAAGGTTGTGGTGGTACAAGAAGAAAGACCATACGTTTTAATTCATCATCTAGAGAACATCAAGCGATCTCCGTTTCCTTCTCTTCCTGTCCGACCAGCTGCATGCTCTCTCACCACCTTCACATCAAATCCAGCAGGTTTTAAAACAGCCTGAGTCGACCAAAGCGCTGCACGTGTTCACAGATAAGCAGCAGAAAGACATCAGGAAAGTGTAAAATCAATCCAGTAAAACAAAATAAACAGCATGTTGTGCAGCAGCTTCCTAAAATAAAAATAAATGTGAAATATTAGAACCATTAAGAGCAGGAGAAGGCCAGTAAAACATATTTGTTTAAATCTATGAGTTCCATCTGATTGGAGGAGGACATCCATAAACCTCTTCTTCTCCTCGTCTTCACCGTCTTGTGAGGATCAATCAGAAAGTTCAGAGGCTGCGTCTATGAAACTCACAAACTGAACTTGATTTAACTTTGGCCGCCGTCCCTTTTGAAGTTCGCCTCCTTGTGCGGCGATGCGGCCGCTCGAAGTGTGTTTTATGTGGGAAAACGGTGTCGGCAGCATTAACTTAGTCGAATCAGGAGCCAGAATACTTGATGGAGACGTTCCTAAACAATCCTCAGCAGCTGTTTTCTCACTGATGGAAGGTCTTGAATCACTCAGCTGTTGTTGTTGTTGTTGTTGTCTTTTAGCTCCTCCAGCATGTCAAGCATCAGAAACTCATTTTAAGATTTAGGATCAACAGGTTTGATTCATTTATCGAACCTGTTTTACATCAATCTCGTCCTTCTCAGTGCTTTTATTTTCTGTCCTGTCTGTTCCTGTCCTGACCCCTGGCTGCCCGTCTGTCCGTCGCTGTGCGTCCTCGTGTGGCTTTGGTCTGACTCTGTGTGTTTGTGTGTCCGTTAGCTGACTCTGGAGCTGGCCCAGCAGCATGGCGGCGCTCTGTCTCTGTCTCCACCTCCATCCATGTTGTCTGAGCATCAGCTGAGCTTGTGGAAGCACGGAGCCAGAAGGAGAGGACATGTGTGTATTATTATTATTATTATTATTATTATCGTCTCTTGTTCGGGCCGCGGGTCGGGTCGAGGTCAGACCCAGTCAGAGCAGCGCCTCGGGTTGAGGCTGGGGTGAACCTGAGTGTGAATTTACATTTATTCCAAGTATCTTCAACAACTTTGATTAAAAATATCAGAAAAAGAACAACAAGCTGTTAAAAGACGGTCATCAGCACCAATCAGATGGTTTTTGAGGGAATCTAAAGCTGCTTCTAGTGCAGCAGTTACAGAGCTGTAAATCACAAAACAAACAAAAACAAAACAAAAAACATAAAGCTGAATGTTTTTGTTTATTTATTTTACAACAAGTGGAATCGGCATGTACAAAAACATGTTTCCAGGTGCTCACAGGTGTTACCAATACTGACAAAAAGTGGCTTTTGCAAATGCTTTTTATAAAAACTGTTTATATTTGGGGAGTTTTAATGAAATATCACAATTTTAAGCTGAGTTTAATTAAATAATTTTTTCTGGTAGAAATTTACGCCACACATGATTAGTTGGAGAACTAAAAAATCCTTTTTGTTTTCACCACTTGTGGTTCTGATAAAATGTGTAATTTTGCCATTTTTAAAAAATAGATAAAACTCACATTCAGAGGATTTAAGAAAATATTAAAATTATTAAAACTTTACAGGCAGCCGGGTCCATTTTTAGTAATTTTATCTGCAGAATATGCATCAGTTAATGAAAACAGATGAGTAAAGTCATGCTAAAAGGTACAATTATCTGAAATACATAAAAAAAAAATCTAGATATTAACCAAAGCTCAGCACTTATACCTTTTCTCTTAACGTAAGTTTTCACAAATTTCCTTCAACACCTGTTTTCTTTGTGATCTTCTGCGAGCGACCAGAGAAACAGGAGCAATAATGTTGGAGGTTAAAATGTCACGACAGAGTTTATGTCATCGCCTTCGCTCTTAAGAAAGGTTTTATAAAGGATTGATTTCTTCTGTTTAATGCACAGCATGTTTCTGACCCTTTACTGGAACTTTTTAATCAAACAAGCAGCGTAAATGTTCAGTTTGTAAAGTTAAACATGTGTCTCGCTGCAGCGTCTCAGACTTCCAGAATAAAACTCCATCTCAGTGTCCTTCGTGTTGATCTGTTGTTTTACTGCATGTTGTCCTGTTGCACGTCTCATCGGTCTCTCCTTCTTTATTGAATTCACTGCTGACGGTAAACTTTAACTGGAACGATGCTGTTTCCTGTGTTTCGCAGTCGGTGAGAGACTCGTCCAGGTGCAAGCGCCGGGAGGAGCAGGAGTGTTTCCGGCTCGCCAACTGCAGGAGCTGCTCCCTGAACGCCAACTGCCAGTGGGAGGCGCAGCAGCAGGAGTGTCAGGCGCTGCCCGGTAAGAACAAAGAGACAGAGAGCGTCGCTGCAAAACAGAACAGAGGCAGCAACAGTTTAGATGCACAGAAAGAAACGTGCACGAATAAAATATAAACATCTGGTAGAAATAAAGCTTTGTGCAGGTTGATCTATGAGAACAGTGGAAGGTTCTTTAAATGATGGAACCATAGAAACACACTGCTGAACGAGAAAGTCATTAAAGTCGTGCAGACATGACGTGTGAGGTGCAGCTGCATGTA